AAAGATGTAAATGCTAATTTTAGAAGTCTTGAAATCAGGCGCACCTGAGTGGCTCAGTCGGACAAGCAGCCAACTCCTGATTTCGGCTCAGACTGTGATCTCAGGGCTATGAGATCGAGCCCTGCATCGGGCTCCATGCTCAGCAGGGACTCTGCTTCTCTCCCTCTCCCTCTGCTCCTCCCCCCACTAGGGAACTCATTCTCCCTCTCTCTCTCTCTCAAAAAAATAAATCTTAAAAATAAAAAAGAAGAAGTAGTCTTGAAATCAGTTAAATGTTCAACCATAGAGCTTGCGACAATTCCTGCAAGGATGAATTTTCTTTCTACCTTTACCTAGCTTGTATTTGTAGTGACTGATAATTTTTCATAAAATTATCTCACTTGTGAGCATTTCTGTTATATGGTACACATATCAAAAGATCAAGTGACTTTAGGAAGCAGCTGTGTGAGAGTCGTCCTACCAAAATTAATTTGAATTTCTAAAACTGATTTTACCCCTTTCTGTGTTTCATTTTTTACTTCCTCCTCTGCCACTGGCCAAGGGGCCATGGTCTACAGTGTTTATTTTTATTTACGGCTCCTTTGGTTGGCTTTAGATGATATTTTTCATCATTTAGATATAAAAGGAATTGTACTTTTAAAAAGCATCAAAATATGAGGACGACCACGTTAAGATAATGTACAGGAGCTGTCTGAAGCTGTGGTTTATAAGTACTTATCTTCTCAGTTTCTCTCCTATCTGATCCACACACTGGGTGGTCTACCTTCCAACCAAGTTCAAATATCTGCCCATTCCATTTTTCAGTTATGCTCTGACCTGCGTCACCACCATCTCCCACACCAGATCACTGCAACCCTCCCTTTGATTTCTTTGCTTCTATCCTACCCCCCTCCCACCTCCGAGGGTCTCTCCCACACAGTCGCCTGAGGGGTCCTTTTAAGAGGGAAACTGATCACATCACTCCTCTGCTCAAAACTCCCAAAGGCTCTCTAAGTAACTCAAAATATCAAAGTCCTTGTGGGGCCCTGGGGCTCTACATGGTATGACCACCACTACCCTCCAAGCTCATTTCCTGCTATTCTCATCTTAACTCACCCTGCTTCAGCCACACTGATCTCCTTGCACGGCTACCTATACACCAAGATCTTGTCTCTAACTGTTCCCTTTGCTTAGAAAACTCCTTCCCAAACATCCACCTGACTGTCTGTCACACCACTTTTCAAAAGTTTTGCTCAGACCTCTCACTCAGGCCTCTCCTGGCTACTCTGTTCACAGTCCCAGTCCCACCCCCAGCACCCCATCTCCCCATATTCACCGTATTCTATTTCTACTACGTAGCAGATAATTTACTTAGTATGTTGATTATTTATTATATTACAGAGACTATATTATATTATATATTATAATTATAATTATATATTATAATATATACTTATATAAATATAATTACATATTATATTATAGAGACTATATTATAGTCTCTCTCAACTAAAAGTTTGACTCCATGAAGAAATAAATCATTGTCTTTATTTACTCATGTGTCCCAAATATTTAGAACAATGGCTCTCAACAAAATTAGTTAAATGAATGAATAAATATATAAACATAGATCGAGGTACCAGACAATGCTTGTTCATAATTAAACTTAGAGAGCAAACATGTGTAACCAATTTTTAATGATGGTTAAGCTCTTAAATCACTTTGGAACTTACTGAGTTTGAAAGGTGAATGAAGTCAGATCCTTTTTTGCTCTTCTGTGGGTTTCAAGGAATCATGGATTTCAAGGAATCATAGATACTGATTTCTACAGAGAAACTTCCCAAGTGAAATCTACAGGTCCCATCTATTTTAAGCCTTTTTAGTAAGCCTGAAAAAAGGTCCCCACTTCTAATTTCTCTGTGAATCAATGGATGTCCTTTCCACTCTCCAGCCTGTGAAGTCTTCTCAAGAAGAAGCAACATAAACAGAAACCTCTTGTTCCCTCAGGCAAGACCCTGAAGCGTTCTTTATTCTCTCATGGAAGGTGATGCCACCCACTAGAAGCAGAGGTCCAAACTGGTCTGCTGCTGAAGTCTTACAGTTTGCAGCCATTAGAATGACTGGACATTGAATTACATTTTTAATTCCAGACTCTAATTTTGGGGAGATAATTTTCTAGAATAGCATTGTTTTATATTTTTGAGTCATCATTCCAAAATGAAAGTCCATTACCCAAAAAAAATTTTTAAAGGTTTTATTTATTTATTTGACAGAGAGAGACACAGTGAGAGAGGGAACACAAGCAGGGGCAGATGGAGAGGGAGAAGGCTCCCCCAAATATTTTTTAAAGCAAGAACTTAGGAGAAAAAATTTTTCACCTAGGCTTATATAGCTCAGTCATAGCTAGCCCATGCCAGGTTGAGCCAAAACAATAAGTTGATTCATTCTCTGGATAAAAGTCACCATGAGTTCTTCAATTATCATCTGTTTCAATAAAAAGCTTAAATGTTATTTTAACCAAGTGCCTTGCATGTCTGTTTTTAAGAAACAAGAGGAAACAAAAACAAAATCTGCCTGGACAATATGTGAGCAGGAGGAACATATTATGTTTCTAAGGAAAATAAAACCTAACTGTTCAACATGTATCTATTTCCAATATATTTCTTCAGAAAAAAAAAATAGTTAGCCTTAGTGGCCTTCCAGAAAAATGCTCAACTTAGAACTTTAAAAAAATAACATTTGATTAATGACTCAGAAATTTTTAAAGAATCCTCCTACTTCAATGACCTAACTTACTGGTCTCATATGCATCCCTTTGTTTGTTTGTTTTGAAACAAGCATTCCATGAGCTTCTACTGTAACATCAGGAAACACTGTCATGGTATAATGCAACTGAGCCATGATCCCTCATCTAAAAAGACAATTTGGTTGCTGTTACTTTCAAGTAGAGTTCTAGATACCTGACAATGCTCTTAGTAACCTGTGATACTAGTTGCCCCTAGAAAACTAAAAATCACAGTATTTTAGAACTAAAATAAATCATCTAAGAGTCATGGCGGGGGGTCGGGGGGAACAGTAGGAGGGAGAGAGAATTTCAGGAAGAGAAGGATGGAGGACTGACCAAATCACTGTGTGTCACAGGTTAAAATAGGAGAAACAGAAAAGAAGAAAAGACAGAGATAGACAGAGATGGAGACAGAGAGACAGAAATAGAAAGAGAGAGAGGGAAGAGAGACAGAGACAAAGAGAAACAGAAACAGAGAAACTAAACAAAAATATATGCTTCTCTATTAAACCAATGCATGTCTATTTGTCTTTTCTAAATTCAGAAACTGATTTTAAAAGAGAAGAAAGTCTACATTAAGGGCAAGTTATGAATATATTCAGATAGGATATATTGTAAGTCTAGTTCAAAAAACAGTCTAAATTTTACTATATTCAAAGTTTAATTTTATTTATATGTTGCTTAATTTAATAGACTAGTCCTATTGCATAGAGATTTTGATAAAAATACTCAGTCAACAACTATTTATTTCTGGTGTTGGTTGCTAGCTAAGTAAACTAGAAAAGGGACCACCATTCTCCACTGACAGGTGACAATAATAGAGGTCATCACTTAAATGCTATTTAATACCCTAAATCCAGAAACTGGCAAAACAGAAATAAAGGTGCAAACTTCATCACACAAATAGAAAATTCTGGCACAGGAGGTTCAGTAGGTGAAGGAGCTGCTGTAACCTATCAGAACCTCTCATCACTTGGGTCCGTGGATGGACAAGGACTGTAGTGGGGTGGAAAGAACACGTACAATAGAGTGAGACACACTGGGTTCCCTTCTGAGGTGCCCCGTTCACTGCATGAGTAGCCAGCCCATTCTACCTCTGAACTTCAGTTTCCTAAATCATGAAATGAGGACAGCCATATCTACCTTCCCATGACCTAGCTATAGGAAACAATTTTTAAAATCAGAAACAAAGGCACTAACCACAACAGAAGTGATGGATGAATCTGCCACATTGAAACCAAGAACAACTGTCTACAAAAAGAAACCATGAAACCATCTAAAAAAGTAAAAGCCATGAAACAGAAAAGGAAATGCGCCTCACTTTTACCTGACAAAGAGCTAACGGATAGAATAAAGAAACTTTATAAATACAAAATAATAATAGTAAGACAGCTAAAAATGTGCTAAAGACTTAACAGACATTAGACAAAACAAAATCCAAACGGCCAATAAATACGAAGAGATGCTCATTAGTAATCAGTGAAATGCAGATTAAATAATACTAGTTTTCAGGGTTATTTGGGGACGGGGGCAGTAAATGGTTATATATTTAAAGCACCTACATAAGTCCTGGCACATGGTAGGTAGAAGAACCATAAATAAGCTTTCCCGAAAATTCTTGTTTGAATCCTTCTAGGGGACATCACTATAATGCCAACAAGCATCTAAATACAAAGCAACATGCCACAGTCTTAACATCCATTGATAACCTGAACTTATGCTGGATGCTTCCAAAGCTGATATTAAACTTGGACTTCTCTCTAGTGAATATACAGAAGAATTATTCCACGTGCAGATTGAATGCTGTAACCCCACTCCTGGCTTCCTGATACCTTTCAGACTCTAATTTTCTCTTCATCTATTGCCTTCATCCCCTTTATGTTCATTTGGCATCATTATAATGCCTGCGCCCAGGACAAGCACTTTCAATTCTTTCTGAAGACCAGTAAAACAAATCTCTGCAAGCCCTGGCCTACCACCTAGAAGCCCTCTGCATTACCATAAGTCCTGTCAGCATGATACATCTGTGGGTCACACACAAATACACCAAGTTTGTCATACCAGGGGGTTGCCATGGAGAAGACTCAAAATCTGAGAACTGCACTTGCTCCTCGGCAGGTACCTTAATTTAGCCCGTTCTAAAAAATTTATCGGCCAAAGTAGATTCTATGCCACTGGAAGGAACAATGTCCACGCACTTGATCATGACCAAAAGACTACTGAGGTCAGTACGTACCAAAGGAGAGAAAGTCTCTGCAGAGTAAGGAGGGGGTGGTGTCTCCACAGCTATTTCGGGGTCCTCCTGTTCACTCTCACTGTAGCATTCTATACAAAAACGAAAATGCTTAATGTTTCAACCCTGTCATCACTCATTCCATAATGCATGAGCAGAGGTTTTGCTCCATCTGGCTATTGCAATTCCAATCCGATTCAGAAAGGACTCATCTACTGAGCTACCTGGTGCAAGGGCATTACATAGGAGCAGAAAAAAAATGATAGCCATATTGGGGTTTCCGCCCTCCTGAGTGTCTAATACTTAGGAAAAGGACTAACCATAGCTCAGGGAAAATAAAATCATTCCTCAAAAGAGGTGTGAATCATATACTAAGGGATAATAAAATCAGTAGTGATTAATTTTGATCATAGGAGCCATGAGGAGCTGGAAATGGCAGGATAAGTAAACCATCAACAGCGCGCACAGAGTAATGAGAGGACCAAGTCGAGGGTGCAAGCTGAGCCAATTATACAGAGTCCCCTAAGGGATGTGGTTAAAAAAAAAAAATGAAGCTGAAAGTTTGCTTAAGGCCATATCATGGAAGGCTTTAAATACCAGGATAGGGAGAAGATTTTTGTATAGTGATTTTTTTTCCTCACAACTATAAATGCACTTCAAATATACAATGGGTATTGATGTTGCGGCAAAGAGGACCAAGGAGATGGTCAGGACACTGATTTCACTTTTCTATTTCTCAATTTCAGCTTTTACAATTTTTGCTATCAAAAGATGTAACTCCCCACCTTCCAATTCCCAAGTTTTATATGGCCTGAGTACTTCAGAAATAGTATCAGCTTTGTGACCCCGAACCTAAAGCCTTCTTCTTCTCAATATTCAGGAGTAATTGCATCTTTAAGAAGATTTTGACTCCTGTAGCTTTTGAACCCAGAGAACTACAGACTGAGCTAAAAATATGGCCTGTGTCCCAATTTGACATTCAGTTTCCGAGCACAAACTTAGAGTAATTAGCCTCAGCATACACCTAGTGGAAATATTAAAATATCAGAGAGGAAACAGTGGGATGAAAGTTATCTGTCTAGATCATGACGAGATCATGTCTCTGAGTAAGAATTCAGTGAGTGGGACAATAAAACATTTACACTGGCAGTTGTTTGAGATGTCAGTGAAGCCTACAGCTGCTAGTGTGTGGGTGAAGTGTAAAAAGCATTCTTAGCCAGCATGGGAAGCTCTATTCCATGTTGGTGAGTCTGTGTGAATATGTCTGCTTCTACATATTTCCAGATAATCTTAAATGCCAAAGTATGTTTCATTAGACAAGACTATGCATAGAACTTGACATCGTATTTCCATCCTATCTCATCCTAATATTCTTGCTAAATTTTCAGAAATTTAAAATAGAACATACCTTCATCCTTCGTAGCAGAATCATGATGGATTATAGCTATCCCAAGCTTGTTTAACCACCTAAAATTCAAATAGAAAATAAATGCTTAGCTAAAGAGATTGGTCATCTCCTATCCAACTTCCCCTAGACCCTGAAGTAAGGTCTTGTGCCAGACTTTATAATGCAATTGTCATAATTCTATAGTTGGTCTAAACTTTTCCAGAAACAGTGTGAGTTTGTGGTATCGAAACCTAAAACCACTTGTTTCACAATACTTTCCTTCCTTGGGATATTCTTTGTAAGACAAGAAACAAGGTGGTCCATTATCCAGCTTGCTAAGGTGGGCAACTACATTAAATATTCTAAATATATGAACAAGTATATTTTTGTAGTTGTGCATTTCAAATTTTTAGCAAATTTTTAGCAATCAAACCTCTATCATTGAATTTAGTAACCTTACTTAACATTAACGTCCCATCTCTATAATTCTTAAAATGTAATTTTATTTCACAAAAAAAATAAAGAGAAGATGATCCATTTTTAAGACAGGATTTTTATATTAATCAATAGAAGATCTCAGAGTTTGACAGGGGAAATGTTTAATTCCTTGAAGAATTTTATGTTAGGTAAAAAATGACAGTGTCCTATCTTCTTATCAATTTACTATCTTATTGGCAATGATTTTCAACTAAACATCAATGATAAAAATAGAACTAGACACACCTTAAGGAACTCAAACTTGCCTCATGACCTAAGGCCATTGGAGTTCCTTCTCAAGGGGTTAGTCAGGAACATATTTCATCACACAAATTCGTAAAAGACACAAAATGCATCTATTTCATATGTTCCTAGCTATATAACCTTTTATTTAAAGGGAAAATATTATTTTGGGGGTGGTAATAATCTGATTTATTTCCCACTTCTTTCCAATTTTCTATATTTTTAAAAAGTATTCCATATTATATGTTCACTTTTTTTTTTTTGAGAAACCAGCGCATTCAATAGTGGGCTAAGTCAACCAATACCAATAAAATAAGAATGCTATGCACTTATTAACTCACTTATGCTCTCCATTTCTTCTAGTCCTGTATTGCCTCGTGAACTATCCAGCACACTGCTCCCCTACCACATAATTATCGCGTATTCCCAAGTCTTCAACTGTCAACAAATTAGGAATCCTTACCCAACCCTCAACCTGCCATGGTCTTGCCATATTTATTTTTTATTAACAGGAAATACATAAATTTCATTTTTAAAAACAAATAGGGCTCTCTACAAGAAGAAAGATGAGCTTCAGCCTCATTTAAGAATCCCCTCAGGGGTGCCTGTGTGGCTCAGTCCGTTGAGCGTCCAACTCTTGATTTCAGCTCAGGTCATGATCTCAGGGTCTCCATGCTCAGCAAGGAGTCTGCTCCTCTCTCTCTCTCTCTCCCCTCCTCCCTGGCCCTCTGCCCCTTCCCCCACTTGCACACTCTCTCTAAATAAATAAATAAGTGGTTTTAGGTTTCAACACCACAAACTTATGCTGTTTCTGGAAATGTTTAGACCAACTACAAAATTATGACAACTGCATCATAAATAAATAATAAATAATAAACAATAAATAAAATCTTTTTTTAAAAAAAGGCATTTTAAGAAGCCCCTTTAGCATCATGACAAATATGAGCTCCTTAATAGCCACTTAAAACCAGACCAATACATGGGCCCAGATCCCACCATAGGAACCAGAAAGTGTTCATCAAGACCCGATAGAATAATAAACAACCCCAAAACAAACAAACAAACAAAACAGGAAATCACAAAAATATATATATAAATGGCTTATAAAAAAATAGAAAAAATTTATCAGCCTCCATAGTATTTTGGGAAATGCATATACAAACACAGGAAAATATTCACCACTAGATTGGCAAAACCTAAAATACCACTGATTTCTAGGATTTAGGAGGAAACATTCTCATCCTTTGCTCAGTTGAACATCAAAATTGGTACAGCCAATTTTAAAAAAGGCAATTTGATGATACTAGTCTAAATTTAAGTATCCACCCCTAATTATAAATGTCTATCCTACAAACCACAAATAAATGTGGAAGAATGTTAATTCAATAAGATTTGCAATGGCAAAAAGATAAAAACACTGATACGATATAATCTTCCATTAACAGGAAAATGGATAAAGTATACCACTAATTTCATCAGTACAATCAATGTTATTACGAAGCTAATAAAAAGACTGGGATAGGAAGCCTTCTGATGGCCTGGGAAAATTCTAACATACTGTTAAGTGAAAAAAGCAAGTACAGAACAATATGATTGGCCTGATTCAATGTACTTTTAAAACTATGTATTTGTGTATGTGCATGAATCGATATGCAATGAAAACCATCAAAAAGGATGAATGTCAATCATACTGTTAAAAGTAGTTAATCTTGGGCGCCTGGGTGGCTCAG